TTCCCGTATTATATCAACACCGACGAACCCAACCCCACCACCTCCCTCCACCCTCCTCCCCCAGGTACGCCGTGGTGTGGCTCGAGCCGTCTTGGCACTGCGGCCCCTTCAGCGACTTCCCCAGGATGTACAAGCTGGCGACCTACACGCTCATCGGTGCCTTGCCCTCCTCGCTGTACCCTGTGGTGGACTACATCTCCTCCCCAGGCGTGGTCATCCCCGCCGGCCTCCTTCTCGTCCTCATCATTTACTACCTCCTGTCCCTGACGGCGGCGCTGAGGGAGGCCAACAGCGATCTCAGGGTGAGTATTGTCAGGGTTCCCTTCCAACCGCTTCGTATGGCTTAAACCAGCCTCGAATATTTGTTAAAAATGAAGGGATTCGGACGATGGGTCTAGAAGGAAGTGGAAAATGTCTTAAAATGCTTACTGACTTACAGGATCAGCTGAGGCAGGAGAGATCGGCGGAGAAGAGGAAAGCCATGGACGCCCGGACGGGGAAGAACCGCTCGGAGACGCCCACCACCAGGTCAGGGATCTTGGGAATATTTTCTTATTTAAATAGGTTGCCGTTGGAACTGGATGATGTATCTATATATATTTTTATAGTCCCCACCCAACCTCTCTTTCTCTCTCTCTCTCTCCTTCTCGATCCCCCTCTCTTTTTCTCTTTTTGTTTATGTACTACATATACATGTATACATTCATACAAATACACACGCACACACACGCACACACACGCACACACACGTACACACACGTACACACACACACACACACACACACACACACACACACACACACACACACACACACACACACACACACACACACACACACACACACACATATACATATATATATATATATATATATATATATATATATATATATATATATATATATATATACTTATACTTTTACAGATGGAGCCGCGTGGTGCCCTTGACGCCAATGCCACGCCAGCGACTGGACGGCACAAGTGGCCCAGACAAATCCACTGTCACCAAACCTTTAACGGGTGAGCGAACATTTTCAGGCAATTTTTTTTCGGCAAAAGGGCCTCTTATTAATTCTGATATATAGGATCAAAGACACCCTTTGGTCATGATAATGAACTTTCTCTCAATCAAAAGAACATAAACGATATATCTGTCTCATTGCATTTGTAGACTATTGTTTCTATTCCATATGACATACCTTTTGCAGAGCCGGACGGCCCTCCCGCACTGCCGCCGGTCGAGACGCCGCGAGGAAAGGACGAGGGCCCCTGGCCGGATGACGTGACTGACCTCGGCCATTCGGAAGTGTTTGACGACTCCCTCTCCGACTCCCGAAAGCAGGGGAAGGAGACGCCGGTGAAGGAAAAGCCCGTCGAGGCGAGCGTGTCGAAGCATGAGCACAAGAGACATGAGAGGGAAAAGGACAAGATGCTGGAGAAGGAATACGAGTCCGCCCCGAGGAGTCCTTACTCGAGGTCCAAGCACAGGCACAATTCCTATCCTCAGGGAGCCAGGGACGAAGACAAGAACAGAGTCCGAAGGGAGAACCACCGGGCGGCGACGGGGCAGAGCAGGTCCTCCAGGAAGTCCCAGGAGAGGAAGCACTCGGACGAATCGAGCCACCGGGAGTCGCCCACGAAAGCCAAGTCCGGCTACAGACACGGCATCGTTGACTCTCCTCGGAGCAGGAGGAGGAAGGGGTCCAGCGGCCAAGCCGGCAAGCTGAAGGACAAGATGCCCGAAGAGTGCGTGCAAGAGTTGAACGAAGTCATTCACCAAAAGGACCTGAAAAAGAAGAAGTCACCCAAGCCCTCAGAAAAGCTCGACCACCACCAGACATCCGGGGACGCGGAGGCGGCATCTCGGGCCGGTCCACAGAGCCGCCACCGACGCGAACCTTCGATCTTCAAGATGGACGACATTCGCAGGAACTCGAACGAGAAGGCGAAGAACGGGACGCAGACCGGCCAGCGTCGGAGCAGCTCGGACGATTCCCAGAGCATGCAGTCAATACCAGTAATTAAGGTAAAGTTGCGGCCAGCGCCAAGTCCATATTTCACTCCTTACGATGATTTGTATGCAAAGTTAGAGTTACTTTCATTGTCTTTACTAGTTTCTAAGACATTTTCGTTTATTCTTAAATAAAACTGTTATGCAGTTTCCTTCGGTAATTTCCAGTGTGATATAGATTGAAAGTGAAATATTTCAAAATCAAATAACAAGACTTCTATCAAAGATTATCCTTCGACCTCCCATCTGTCCCGCAGATCAGCAAAGAAGACAGCGTGGAGAGGTCTCTCCAGCAAGCCCGCCTGGAACGCCAGGCCAAGACTGTAGAAGAAGACAGCGACTCAGCCAGCCAGCCTCTCACGGGCCCAGTCGCCCCCAAACCCACAGAAAGGAAGACGAAGCCAAAGCCTATAGAAACCGACCTGGACGCGGCCTTTGCTGATCCTGGCACCACGTGTGACACGGCGGCCTTGCTCGGGGAACACTCGGAGGTGGCGCCAGCAACGCCGGGGAAGGACTCGAAGGCCAAGGACGAGGAGGAGCAAGCTGAGCCGATCAGTTCTGACGATGAAGCTACTCTCCTGGACAACAACTGATTTGATGGATATTTCGTGGTCGTTGTGAAAAAAGCACTTATTTTTTAATAATGCACATACACTCATAAATTCCTTGCACATACGCACGAATACAGATTATACCTCCAGATATGAATACATCCGCACATGCAAACATACAGTTGATAAAGAGACAAAGACACACAGATAGACAGACAGTCAGACAGTGGCACTCAAACGCAGACATACAGAAAAGGTGCACAGACACACAGGGAAGTACACAGACATAGAGAGAGGTACATAGACAAAGAGAGGTACATAGATGCATAGGCGGATAGATTGACAGACTCAGAGAGATACAGAGACTGACGGACAAGTAGATAAAATCACACACACACACACACACACACACACACACACACACACACACACACACACACACACACACACACACACACACACACACACACACACACACACACACACACACATATACACGCATATACACACATATATATCTCCGCTTTCTATTTTTGCTAGCCTCTCCATATCTGTCTGAAACTTTTTGTTTGTTTTTTCTCATGTGACTTTGTCATTGCTCTGACTAAGTCTTTCTCTCACTTACGTTTTTTTTTTTGTCTCGAAAGAAAACATACACAAAGTACCTAAACAACAGAGGAAGGTCACAAACACTCAGAGTTACTATATTATGAAATATACACTATACTATATGATATATTATACTATTACTATTTAAACAACATTGTGGATAGAAAACATAACTATTTTGAATTTCACTAACATATGACTTGATATTTTTTTATGTATTATTATGTAAAGGCACACTTTGAAGAAAATTAATAAGAAAAAATCGATGGTATTTCACTTACTACTGTGTATGCGCAAGATATAATCAATCTAATTGGCATTTGCTTCACGAAAATACAAAATACACTTTTTAATCAAGGTGTGCCAAAATAGGTTTCAACTAACAATCAGGAGACACTAAAGAGTAATTTTTCAAGGTATGTGAATGTCAAGTAGCTAAATATGTGTTAATTTATTGCGAAACAGCAAATGAGCAATATGTATTTAGCATTAAAGTTTGGGATAATGTTTCCAAGTAAATTCTTTGAACTTTTTACAGATTCCTAGTTGTAAATTAGTATAAAAAAAGCATTTCTTAAAACCAGGAAAAAAAAACTATGATATTACCAGAATTCTAGAATAAATATAACTGTAACTTGTCTTTGCATTCCTTCCTATGTATTTAAAAGAAGTCTCCATTACTGGGATTTATATAGAGTTCATACAAGTAGCTTTATGGGTTGTACGGTCTCTCCTTTATTTGAAATATCGTATATGAATAAAAAAACCCTCATTATTTGAATATTGTAATCTTTTATTAAGCTAAGTAAGTCTACTTTATGGGTTATCCTCTGTATTCAAAGCAGTTGTTCCTAAAAATAGTTTCTTCTGTTCATTAATTTCCACCATTACATTTAAGTAACAGATTCTCTATTTACTAAAATACCATTATATAAATCCCTCTAATTCCTAGGTTCCGGAAAAATAACAGCCCTGATTTCCCTCGTTTATCTTTGTTTCGTTTATTCATGTGGAATTTATTAACGACTATTTCCTATCAATTGGGTTTTAATATTTGAAATTTAATACTTGGCAACCGTCAAATCTCCGGCTATTCGAGAACGGAAAAAAATCTTAACTTAGTATTAATATTCACTAATAACAGCAACAAATAAACTCGTTAAAAATATGGATAATTAACAACTAAATTTTGCCTAAGTAGCATAAAGAAATGGAGTGAAAGTAGAAAAAAATACTCGTATGAATGTACACAGAATCACATGTATGTTCATAAATAATCATAAAATACTATTACAAACCACAGGATATTCTTTTCCAAGTAAAAATGTTCAGAGTATTTTTTTTATTAGCCAGACCTATATATATATATATTTTTTTTACTTTGAAGTATTCTTTTTAAAATAACATATCCCAATAATGAACGGTATCACAATAAATTATAAAAAAAGAAACAGAAAAAAAATGCTTAATCCAAACCTAAATTTATTTATTAATTGAAATTTACCAAGTTACTACAAGGAAATATCTTTATTTCGTGAATGGCCTTGAAAACTCCGACCTTGTGGCGTGCACACGTGTTTGCGTTCCTTTGTATGTTAATATAGAACAATTCACTGAAGATATTGTTCAAAATATGTTTTAATGTGGAGATTGCATTTAAATACATTGATTCATCCTATTTTATAGGCTATTTGACATTTATACCGGTAAACTTATAGGCACACCTTGATGTTTTTTTTTCAAATTAAACGTTCATAAAACATAATAGAATACCCTCAAAAAGAAATCCGTTTTCTGAGACACCTCCCCGAACCACAGAAAACGTAAGAACCAGCCTTTTGCGCCATATTCCGCAACACCACACACCAAAAACTCCCCATAAAAGCCAAATCCCGGCCTCGCAAAGCCCAGGCAGGAGAAGCAAAGGGGAAAAAAAACGGCGAAGACTCGAGCTCCCGCAGGAGAGATTTCCGCCAGGCCCCAGTGGACGTTCCGGACCGCCCGTGCCACAGCGCCTCTCCCTCGACGCCCCGAATTTCGCCCCAAATTCCCGTTAAATAATGGCTGATAGCGACTGGGACACCGTGACTGTGCTAAGGAAGAAGCCCCAGAAGGCCTCCCAGCTTAAAAGTGAGCAGGTAGATATGTAGTTTAGGGCGTTATAAGCTGGATTTCAGCCTTGGAAGCGAAAGCAACGTGATTCCTTTTTTTTCCAGACGGTGTTTTTCTTTTATTTCTTTTTTTTGGGATTATTTTTACAGGTCTATTTTTTTTTCGTCACTTGTTTTCGGTATTGTATTGGTTGTGATTTTTTAATGGGGTGGTTAATTATAATGGTGTAAGAGATGAGAGAGAGAAAAAAAGGGGTGTTTCCATGAACCTTTATTTTCCCGTAAACTTTGAATTTTTTTTTTTTTTTCCTCGTATTTCATCATCTCGGCCAAGAAAGTTGCGTGGAAGTTAATGGCTTTAAATGCTCTCTCGTCGCCCTGGGAGGTGAAATAAGAACACGTTTCACCCCCCCACGGCCACCAAGAGTGTGTTTCATCATGTAATAAAATCAATGCCTTTCCAACCCCCCCCCAATGGCTCCTCTTTTCACACCCTTCTCTCCCACTTTTCACTCCTTTTGTGGGATTATTTCACTCTTTGTCCACTCTTTATTCTGGTTTTCTTGTCCACTTTCTACTTTTTGTTTTCTGCATTTACTAATTTTTTCTTTCAGATTCCTTTCCTTTGGCATTTTTTTTTCTATTTTTCCTGTTTGGGAGATTTTTGCTTCAATATCAAAGGTCTTGGTTTCTTTTTTTGAGAACTTACTGGGTTGAAATTAAGTGATTTGAATAAAAAATCATTATGGCACATTATGGACGGGTATTATTTTAGTCTATTTTTTGTGTATTTACGGCATGTGGTCAGGCGTGTGAAACCTCGTCTCGGCTATGGGGAGAATGACCCTTAATGTGACGAAGCATCACCCTGCGTCGGTGATTATTTACCTTGACATGGTAACACTTCACCCCCGGCAATGAGGAAGAGATTGAAAAAGTAAAACAAGTTATATTTTAGAACTGTTCTCCTAGTCTTTGTTTATATATTTTTGTGTCTATAATTTGTGTAAATGGGAGTGGTTTTGCATGTTTTCAGATAAAACATTTTATGGTAAATTCCCGAGACAAATGATAAAGAGACTTAACATTTTTCCAAAATTATGTGACTGAGATTTGGTAGCATTCCTGGTAAGAAGTGTGTTAAGATTCTAAGTAAAGTTCACATAGGAACTGAGATGAAACCCATTTCTGTTTTTAGCCCGTTGGAAGTGGGTGCCTTGCTCAGGCGCTTGGACAAAAGATCGGCTAGCTTGAATGGCGAATTTCCCTGAGTCCCACGCGAACACTTGCGTGCAGTGTGTAGAGTCCTTGCTTCTTCTTTGTAATGTTATTAGCTCTTATTCTGCAGTTGCATTTTTGCGGTCTTATATTTCCCAGGTCTACATGTCATTTGCTATGCTATATCCATACAATATTAGTAATAATAAGTAATATTGTATTATTTTTCATGTATTGTTATTTTTGTATTATTCACTTTTCCATAGCACACCCTATGCTACAGGTAATGGGCAGAATTAGGTTTTTACACATGGCATAGTGTCCTCTCTGGAGATGGCACTTTCCCAGGCAGGCATGGGTCACACAGTACACTCCTCCCTCATTTATGAGTGGAAACATTGCAGGATCCCATGTCTTAAGGTCTGCTAAGTCAAAATCCCTTCCAAAGCTTTGTGCATGCATGGTGCAATAGTTCCCCATGGCAAGAAGACCCCGTCACCTTGGCCCTCAGCCAAATTTTTCCATAAAGAGACAACCCTGTCTCTTGCCCCGCAGCCAGACTTATTTTTTTTGTAAAAGTTCCAGTCAATTGAATCCAATGTGTTAATAGCTCTAGTGAAGTTGTAAATTACAAATTAATAAGGGTCCTTAAAATGAATCAAGGAATCATTTCTATGAAGGCCTCAAAATCTCTTCCACATTTATTCTGATAAGATAGAGCTTGTATACCTCCTTGGTGTTTGTTTTTTTTCTTTTCAAATACAGAACCAGGCTACACTATTTGTCTTGCCTAAATTTTCAAGAAAACTGTAGGACTGCTAGTTGTTTGCAGTTAAGAACAAGATCATGTAGAAAATAATCACACTGACTTCCGAAAGAATTTCCCATGTACTTAAATTGTTAATGTGAAATTCAGATTCACTATCAACTTAGAGGAATCTATAATGGAATTCTGCTATCATATGTCAAGCCATGGATCTATGGATTTCTTGTGATCTGGCTGTGTTTTCTGACAGAGGCCAAGAATTCTCTACATGGATTCTGGTGAGAGACAGCTTGAGCAGGGTTATTATTGAACAGTAAATTACTAAATAGGTTTACAAACTCTGATCTTGCCAGATTAACTGTTGTGGAGGGTTGTTGGCCATTGCTAGAGCACCAACAGATGTGGAGATTGTATTGATAAGCATTGGTCAAACAAATGCAAGAAAGAGATAAGTTAATCTTGGGAATAGGCTTTTTTAGATGGTGATAATGAAAGAGAGAGAGAGAAAAAAAGTTTAGATTAGATTTGCAGTGCCCTTTACTATGGCTGTAGAAATAAAACGTATATGCTGTATATCTCAACTTCTACTGAATTCTTACGTGTATTGATTTGCCAGGCATTAGTCATACTGAATTCTTATGTGTATTGATTTGCTAGGCATTTGTCAGAAGCAGAAAGTCTTAGGTAGCTGTGCGGAGCTTAGCAGGCTTACTGCATTAATTTCATAAATGTGTGTGTGTGTGTGTGTGTGTGTGTGTGTGTGTGTGTGTATTATAATTTCTTACTAGTTCCCAACCTTCTTTCATAAATGCCCATATATAGAAGAAAGGACAAAACCTCCTTTAAAAGATAACTTGTATTAATATATGTTAATGCAAAATTTAAGTTTCATGCACGTTCATTATGCCAGGTACAGTTTCATAACTTCATACAGTCATTTGCATCATCATGCTGATGCAACTTCCTGCTGTGGTGTTTATGGACTGGCACTGATGCAACATTCTGAATTGTTGTGCAACACCACCTAACAGTTGTTCTTGTAATATGATACACCTCCTTTTCCTCTTATTTCTGACAGTGATTGTATTTGTTTTAGTTTTTGGATTGAAGAGAGGAAAATTCCACCAGCTATTAACTTCATGCAGCTGGGAACATGCAATATTCAAGTAATAATGTTTTGTTAAATGCATATTCATGTAGATGGCTCCAAAGTGCAAATCCACCACATAGTCAATTAGTAGACCAATTTAACTCCCTCCTTCATTTTTTGGGAAAATTGTTTTCTCTTCTATTCATATTATGAGTGATATAATTAATGCAATGTTATTAACAAAACTAATTGCAAATCAAATGAAAAAGAATATTACCATAAATAAAGGAAAGGGGCAAACAGGTGAGATAGGGAGGATTAGGAATTGACTCCTTGGTGAGTAAGCACTTGTGGAGCCCTCAATATGTAGATACAATTAATAAATTAATTTCATAGTGGGCATGGCATCTGTGTACATGCCATCCCTGGTGGCATTGGGTTAAGTGCTATAAAAGTCAGTGCTTTTGATTGTAGTTCTTGCTGCTACATTCTCATTTTATACCTGTGAATTGATTTTACACTTTTATTCATAAGCAACATGTATGTACATAAGTACCCATTTTCTTTTTACCATTTGACATTGGGCAGCATACTATCATGTCTTAGAGAATAGTTATTAATGGCAGGTGATACCTCCTCACATCATGATTCTATATCCTGATTGCTGACTAACCTTACTGACAATTTTACTTGTTATCGTGCTAAGAATTTTACTGTTATCTTTCCTTTCTAACACCAGAAAGCCATTACAAGAATTTGCCACCATTGGCAGTTTTGTATATATTGTGCTAATTACAAGCCTAAAAAAGTACAAATAGAAAAGAATAGAAAAGGTCTATACCACAACAACCACAGTAACTTCTGGAGCAGGGAGTATTCCTTTTTATTTTAAAAGGTTTGCTCAGTTCAAATTCACTCCTAGCTTGCCATTAAGCCTTTAGTTCTATATAGCTTGCAAGTTGACCTGATAGTGTTTACAAAAGCATTATTAATAACAGTAGATAATAACATGTCCTGCTTTTTAGGGAAAAGAAGGCCAGCCAAGCTCCCAAGTTTTCCTGATTTCAGTACCAGATTTAGTCAGGCATTGATTAACCCAATGCTGTCGGGGAAAATAAATAAGAAAAAAAAGGGGGAAAACACTGTGCTCATTTTCTATATTTTGGTGAAATGTCTCTGTACATAGATGGCTCTGCTAATGCTTAGCCACAAAGGATTCAATTTGTAGACCTTGTGATCTTACGTGATTTGAATTGGCGAAGAAAACTTGTTTTTTACTAGTTCTATGAATATCAATGGTCTTGTTTATATTACAGACATTGTAATTACTATGATGTTATAAACATTAGTAAAATATTTTCATAAATCAATGAAAAGGGTGAATCGGTGAGACAGGCAGTATTTGTAATTGGCTCATTTGTGACTTAGTACAAGTGTAGCCATCTATGTGTAAAAACAATGAAAAAAGTAAACATGGGCATGCCATGCCTGTTTGCAATGGGTTAAGGGAGAGGAGGGACTACAAGAGGAATAGAGGAATGGGGTTAATATCATTGGTGTGGCTGGAGGAAGTTTACCAGATGTATTAATAACACTACATACACAGGTGTGCATGCGAACTCTCATATGTACTGTCAAGACTCCTTGTTTCCCCTTTGCCGTTTTATTAGTGTTTTTTACTTTATGGCTATTTTCCAATGTTCATATTTGCCAGTTGATATACTGTATCCTCCAGATGGTGATAGACTTTTTGTTGAATAAATTCCATATCTCTGTAGGTAGTCCATGAGTCAGTGCAATGATAATAACAATAAGTAACATTTGCTTATTCGTATTTTTTTTTTCTTTCTTTTTTTAATGCTTAATTTTCTTTAATACAACCTTCATACTGGTCATGGCATAAAGCAATAGGAGCCTGAGCATGGAAGTAGTGTCTTTTCAGGAACTGCCACTTTTCCAGTCATGGCTCATGGGTGGCACATTCTACATTTGTTTACTGATAGGAATAATGCAAGAGCCCCTTCCAAAATGCCCAATAAGTCTAATCACCTGCTAAGAGCTTTGAAGCCTTAAGTAAAAATTCTCATGTTGTCATGTTCCTGTTACCCTGACTCACAGCCTAATTTTTCCATCACGGCATGTTCACGTCACCCGCCCCCAAGCCAAATTGTTTCATGATGTGATGGTCATGTCATCTGGATCATAGTGTTTGATTACACCTTCATAAGCCATTTTGCCTTGAAGTTATATTGGAGGAAGTACATGGCATGGAAGTTAAGATCCACTTATGCTTAGGAAATTATCAAACAGACTTTTCATGTGTTCTTTTGTGATGGTTAGGCCATGCATGATTGTATTTTCTGGAATTTATATTTAGTTTGCATTAGATGTTTAGAGTAGTTATTATTCTTGTTTTTATTTAATTTGGTAAAAATTTTTCAAAGGCTGTGAGGATATGCACTTCTTGTCAACCATGTTATAATGTATTCTTATAGGTTATTGGGTAATGTTATTTGCTGTTTTGTTTTTCGTTGCAGTCTTCTTGTGTATGTCTCCCTCTCCCTTCCTCTCGCTCTCCCTTTTTCCTTTTTCCTACTTGTTCTTGCCATAGGAGTTACCGGAATATTTAGCAGGTATTTTCTGCAGGTGTTCATGGGGCTGAAAAGCAACATTTCTATTCTAGAGATGTGTGATGCAATACATGTTTTGATTAAGTTAAGAAAAGAAATGCCCTGAATTTGATATTCAGCTTGATATTGTTTTAGTCCTGGGGGAATTAGTCATACTCTGCACCTGTATTAAAACCATTTTGAGCTGATTATTACTATTTGTGTTGTTCTTTTCTTCTTTTCCTCATTTTCTCCTCCTCCTTATTTATTGTTATTATTATTGTTGTTGTTATTATTATTGTTATTATTATTGTTTTGTTATTGTTATTGTCATTATCATTATCATTATTGTCATTGTTATTGTATTTGTTATTGCTATTATTATTGTTATTGTTATGTGTTATTGATATTGTTATGTGTTGTTGTTATGTAAATTATTGTTATTTATTTTTATTATTGTTTTTGTTTTTGCTGCTGTGTATCCTCATTATCATCATTGATTATCATCATTATTATTATTGTTGTTATTATTATTATTGTTGTTATTATTATTGTTGTTATTATTATTGTTGTTATTATTATTGTTGTTATTATTATTGTTGTTGTTATTATTATTGTTATTATTATTACTATTGTTATTATTACTAATATTATTATTATTGTTATTATTGTTGTTATTATTGTTGTTATTATTATTGTTGTTATTATTGTTGTTATTATTATTATTATTATTATAATTGTTATTATTATAATTGTTATTATTATAATTGTTATTATTATTATTGTTGTTATTATTGTTTTATTCTATTTATTTTTTTCATACAAAATTTGTGTAATTGTTGGTAGGACTGAATCTGAAATATTTTATTTCTTTAAAGGCTGTGAACAAGGCCAGACGAATTGGAGCTCAAGTGGAAACCAGCACGAAATGTAAGTAGGGAATTTGTTTTTTTACCTTATGATGTGTGTTTTGTTCATTTGTTCAGATGTTTACTGTATTATTAATATGTTTACCTATTTATTGACTTGTTATTCATATATTCATATATGCTGTTTGATAATAGTGTGAAAATGTATTTTAGAAGAAAACTGTATGCCTAGTTCATATGCGTATGATGAATGTCTCAACAGATGGAGCTGCCAGCAACAAGCAACATGCCACCACCTTCAACACAGCCAAGCTCGACCGTGAGACTGAGGAACTGAAGCACAACAAAGTGGCTCCAGATGTAGGCCGTCTCATCCAGCAAGGACGCCAGAACAAGGGGTGGACGCAGAAGGACCTGGCCACTGTAAGCAGCATATTGTCACTGTGATACAATTTTTAATTTTCTTATTTTTTTAATAGTAGATGTGATGTTTTAATTTGTATGTCAGGACTGTACAAGTGTAGTTTTTTATTTTTTTTATTATTATTATTATTTTTTTAATCAGTAGCATTATTGAAGGCTGAATCCGATGTGAGGAATTAAATGTCGTTAGATGCTCTCTGTTATAAAGATGCGAAGCTGATCAGGTTCATTACACACAGTATGAGGTAAAGAAAATTGGGAAAAAAAAAAAAGCTTGTTATGAATAATACACTGTGCCAAGCCCATGGATGGTTGCTCTACCAAGACAACAGCACGCTTACTTGGGTGACATTCGGTTAAAATTAGGCACAATTGAAAAGGTTGGCATCATCATGTCCATATTTATTACCCTGAGAAGTGAATTACTGTCATTTAGGAATTTGGTTGTAAAATGAATGAACTGATATGCATATTTTACTGATTATATTAAAGTTTGGTTATTGGCACGAGTTAGAAACCTGTATTTCAACAAAAGCCTTCTAAAACTTGTTGCAATATTGCCTCTCCCTCTCCCCTTCCCCACAATAGCTCTCCCTCTCCCTCTCCCTCTCCCTCTCCCTCCCTCTCCTTCTTCTATCTCTCCCTCTCCTTCTTCTATCTCTCCCTCTCCTTCTTCTATCTCTCCCTCTTCTTCTTCTCTCCCTCTTCTCCTTTTATCTCTCCCTCTCCTTCTCCTCCTTCTTCTATCTCTCCCTCTCCCTTTCCTCCTCCTCCTATCTTTCCCCCTCCTTTTCCTTCTTCTTCTATCTCTCCCTCTCCTTCTTCTATCTCTCCCTCTTCTCCTTCTTCTCTCCCTCTTCTCCTTTTATCTCTCCCTCTCCTTCTCCTCCTTCTTCTATCTCTCCCTCTCCCTTTCCTCCTCCTTCTATCTTTCCCCCTCCTTTTCCTTCTTCTTCTATCTCTCCCTCTCATTTTCCTTCTCCTTCTTCTATCTCTCCCTCTCATTTTCCTCCTTCTTCTTCTATCTTTCCCTCTTCTCCTTCTTCTCTCCCTGTTCTCCTTTTATCTCTCCCTCTCCTTCTCCTCCTTCTTCTATCTCTCCCTCTCAATTTCCTTCTTCTTCTTCTATCTCTCCCTCTCCTTTTCCTTCTTCTTCTTCTATCTCTCCCTCTCCTTTTCCTTCTTCTTCTTCTTCTTCTTCTATCTCTCCCTCTCCTTTTCCTTCTTCTTCTTCTTCTTCTATCTCTCCCTCTCCTTTTCCTTCTCCTTCTTCTTCTATCTCTCCCTCTCCTTTTCCTTCTTCTTCTTCTTCTATCTCTCCCTCTCCTTTTCCTTCTTCTTCTTCTTCTATCTCTCCCTCTCCTTTTCCTACTTCTTCTTCATCTATCTCTCCCTCTCCTTTTCCTTCTTCTTCTATCTCTCCCTCTCATTTTCCTTCTTCTTCTATCTCTCCCTCTCATTTTCCTTCTTCTTCTATCTCTCCCTCTCATTTTCCTTCTTCTTCTATCTCTCCCTCTCATTTTCCTTCTTCTTCTATCTCTCCCTCTCCTTTTCCTTCTTCTTCTTCTTCTATCTCTCCCTCTCCTTCTCCTCCTTCTTCCATCTCTCCCTCTCCACTTCCCAATAAAACGTCTCCATTTCAGAATGCATGTAATCAAGTTCAGATTTATCTTGTGCATTTACTTGTGAGTCTGATTCCTGTTTGAACTTTTGAATGTATTTTTGGTGAAATATTTCGTAATTCATGGATTGAGCTTGCACACCTATGACTCCAAAGTTCCATAATTTGTATAATTCTCAAATATTGTTTTCATGTTTTTTTTTGCAGGCAGGGAGTTTATTGTTTGGGTTGTTTTGAATTTATTGTTCCGTTAAACTAAAGGTGTCTTTTGGGTTCCAGCGTGTGAATGAAAAGCCACAGGTGATCCAGGAGTACGAGCAAGGCAAAGCAGTGCCCAACCAGAACATCATAACCAAGATTGAGAAGGCTATTGGTAAGTAACACGACACATGTGTTGCTCATTTTTAAACGAAAAATTAGCTTTACAGTGGTGATATGAAATTGAATAGTTTTGTAATAATGAGCAAACCCATATACCACAACATTATAACAGTCATTATTATTGATACATTTTCCCACACTTCTAACTATATTCATTATAAGTTCATCATTTTTAAAGTGATTGCTCATAGAAAAGAAGAACAAAAAAAATAAGGTATTTTTCTTATATATGTAAATGTATATATATACATGTATATACATGTATATACATATACATATATATGTATGCATATGTATGCATATGTATATGTATGTATATGTAGTATATGTATGTATATGTAGTATATGTATGCATATGTATATGTATGTATATGTAGTATATGTATGCATATGTATATGTATGCATATGTATATGTATGCATATGTATATGTATGCATATGTATATGTATGCATATGTATATGTATGCATATGTATATGTATGCATATGTATATGTATGCATATGTATATGTATGCATATGTATAATATATCTCAGTCACATGGCATTATAAAAGCTTCTTCTCATTTACCTAATTGTGATTTTTGTGAACAGGAATGCGTCTGCGGGGCAAGGACAAAGGACAGCCCCTACCAGCTCCAGGGAGCAAGAAGAAATAAGCAGAAGCCAAGTCCCTCCGCCTTTTGCTCTTTCACCCACAAAGTGTGTACCATGCTACAGGCAGTACCCAGAAAGTTCCCCTTCAGTTTACTACTCAGCAATTAGGGCTATTCGGAATATTGTTTTTAGTGTTTCATATGTCAAGTGCTTTTGTTCTCTCACCTAGCTTGGAGGGCATTTTTTCTTTTTCTCTTGAGGAAAACAAATTTTCTTGCAGAGTTTGGATAATAGATATATCACTAAAATGAAAAAAAAAGAAAAAAAAAATGTTATGTATTGATAGAAATGGATGAACAGGAAATGTTATTTAGTCAAAGCTTAATTGTGTACCTCCACTATCCACAAAATGTGTAAAGGGTATGGTAAGCTGACCATAGCATGTATTTAGTTGAATGTTTTCAGGAAATTTTTTTGACAGATTGATTTTTGTTCTTTTGAACTCTTTCATTCATGCAGTTATATGCATTTGTATTTCCAAGTTTGTTGTAACCAGACAGCATTCGTTTCTCTGCTGAAGTAAGACTGGTAATGACTATTGAAGAGGAATTCACTCGATTTGTTATTTAGCTGTTCTGTTTTCTCACTGCGTACTTCAGAGTATGTTCAATCTTTTATAGAATTTCTATGGTGTATGCTAAATAAATACTATAAAGGAGTTTCCATAGATAATCATTTCCTCTTTCCAGATGTTTTGATGTTTCCTGTTTCCCATATGTGACCCTTTCTCTGTCCTAAAGTGATTGTATTTTTACAAAAGTTTAGTATCAGTATAATTGCAATATATATATATATATATATATATATATATATATATATATATATATATATATATATATATATATATATATATATATATATATATATGCAACAATAAAGGGGAATACACTGAGAACTTAGGAATAATATGGTAATTAAAGAAATCACAGGAATAATATGGTAATAAAAGAAATCACTATATCAGTAGATGTATTCTTTTCTATATAGACATTCATTATGCAAGTAAAAATGCAGCTAATGTTCCTGATTCACAATATGAAATCTTGATTTTTGTAAGAAGTTTATTGACAGTGAATGGAAAGTTGTATCTAAGGAAATAAGGCTTGTTAAAGATATTCCAATGCCATAGAGATAGAGTGGATGTACAAGGAACTGCCAAGCATTCAAATTGGAGTGTAAGGTGTTTAAAGGTTGTTTTGACTAAGGATGTTATCAACTTTGTGTTCCACTTCATATTGGTTAAAAAAAGCAAATTATGCTTGCTTGATACCATATAGTTTCAGTGTACTAACATACAATAAAGTTTCACCCTGAAAGCAAGAGAGAATTTTGGCTTTTTGTTAAAGAAATCCTCTGCAATACAATAAGAAAATAATATGAACACTTTTGTGTCATGCCTTGAAAAAAAAAGTTTCTTCTTCCATTCTTCTCTTACCTTGTCAAGTACATTTAAGTACAGCTTAGAGTGTCTGAATTAAATATAATTTTGAGTACCTCTCAGACTTTTTAGTGTGTGAGTGTCATTTTCCATTAGACATTTCCAAGCCTCGTGTATAATAATCACTTGGGCACTGGGCATTATGACACGTAGATGTAAGATTGTCATTTTATTCTGATGAGCTTGTATGAGATGTGAAATTTGAGAGTATATCTATCATGAAATGGTTCAGTTAAGCATATTTACTTTACTTATTATAGCTAAAGAGCTAGTTATTTTTGATGATCACCATGTTTGATCTTACGAGAGTGAGTGTAATGAAGTGTGAATCAATAACATTAAATTATCTCTATTGTCTCTAACTCCTCTACTTTCCTTTTCCTTTTTTCCTCTCATCTTCTTCTCTTATCTCATTTGCTTTATATTCATTAATTGTAAAAGAATATGCAATAGTCTATATATATCAGTAACAAGGCAAGGCCTATAATCCTCATGGCTTTTTAAATAAATGAGCAGGTACTTGTGAAATAGAGTAAGACCAGTTTGATAACTTAAGGTGAAGGAACACACTTTTACAGTCTAGTTTATACTGATGAAAAAAATTGTCATGATTGGTTACTAGTATCCTTAACTTAATGTTGATAATTTTGGAGGATCAAATAACTGATAAATCACGATTTTCTAAAAATGTAAATTGAAATTAGACAAAAAGGAATAAGATATTTTTAATTCCATCACTCATGATAAAATGTTTCCAATATTGGTCATCTTTTTGCATTACCATTAAGTTATTAAAATTGATTATGACAAAATAATTCAAAATGAGAACAGTTGTGTTTGTGTAATATAGGAATTACTTTTTTTTAATGTTGATAAACTCACATTAAGAAGAAAGCCATCTCTACTCTACTTAAAACACATTTTTTTCAAGCACAGAGTCACTAGTAAATACTATATTCGTCAGTTTGTTTCAGTTTATCCTTGAACACTTGAAGGTGGTGGTGTATACATATATAAGAAAAAAATGTGTATAATCTATTTGAATTGTAAAAGACATAAAACATAATTTTCTACTTTTGATCTTGCCATTGTAGAAACAGACTTATATTGCTTAATGTTGGATCTTAATGCTCTCAAGTTTGTC